TAGACAATTATTACATATAAGAACTTAAGGTGCATTTTTCTAAAAAAAATTGTTATGTAAGACATCGAAATTTTCACACCGTTGTTTAGATAATTATCACTGTCATCAATTTCGAACGAAAAAAATATGCGTTGTCATTTAAAAAAAAATTATGTCATCGCTGCCGTAAGTGGATTATCGAAAAAAAAATTTTCCACATAACAAGGTGCCCTGGATCAAATAAAAATCGACGGATCTCACCGTTTTTCGAAAAAAAATTGTTTAACGAAAATATGAATTTTATGCAGAACTTTTTTACCACGTTGTATAATTTCTTGGATTTTGTTCGAAATACTGTAACAATCTAGTTGTATTAATATTGTTTCTTACCCTTCGGTCAATTATTTGATTTTTCCGAACAGAAAATGCACCTTCATTTCGTCGTAAGGTCGCCTCCAATCTTGTAAAGGTTCTATGATCAGGAATGAGGCGCTCTGGATACCTTTCTCGATGTAACAGTAAGCTCTTCTTGATTTTTTTTTGTAACTCGCCGTAAATTTGCAACATATCAACTTTTTTTTAATGAGAAAACATTTTGTAAGTATAAAAGTTATATGTTTGACGTTCGTATTGAGTAATGACAAGTATTTTGTGACATTTATGCACTTTAAGCAACGAACATTCAATTATTTTCAAACGACTACTTGATCCTTCCACCGCTAATGTGATTTTTAGGTGGTATTTCTTTTGAGACTCTAGGACGATATTGTTTATAACTTTAAATGGGAACTAATACAGAAAAATTTCTCTAATTAAAGTTTATTTATTTATTTTTGAGAAAAAATGGTGTCATTAAACAAAAGGATTGAAACTGTTAAAAAATATGACAGGGTAGATATATATTTTTTTCTCGCTAAAACCGTCTGTAAATTATCAGTGTGTCCTGTTTTTCAGGTTAACACCTCTGGAAATGTGAGAAGGCCGTGGACCGCAAGCTAATTTTTTTACAATTAATACCTTAATGGGAGGTTATAATCAACTAGACATTTTATTGATGTGTCAAAAGCCTGGCCTACTACTATTTTTTAAAAGGGTCGATTTTCCAGAAAGTGATATTGGTCATTTTTTATCAAAATGATAATATTATCAGGCTATTCGACAGCCATCAAAATACCTATATACCAAATTTGTTCGACAAATGTCTAGTGAGTGTTTTTTTATGGGGTGCCAAACTTGGAAAAATCAGACAGCTAAAAATTATAATAAAAATTTAATTTTTCCGCATAATCTCTCTTAACTTCCACGCATTTAGGTTCTGCATCCGAATATTTCATATGACGGATATTCAATGCCCTAAGCAGTTTTTGTTCTGCAGTCAATAATTTTCCAACGTTGCTGAAACCTTATTAATATTTAGTTTATCACAGAATTGTTAAAATGGTAAAATTTTCAAATGACGATCTTCGGGAACCATTGTCCCACTTTCCAATGCTGCAATAATCAATTCGTGAATTACAGGAATAATTAATTGAATTAATATAATGTTCACTTTAAAAATGTTATTGTAATGCGATATTTCAATTCTACCAAAAATAAATAAATAATAAAATAAATACAATGTTTACATTAGGAAACAGAAGATAATTTTTTAATTAATCGTACTAAAAATACGTAATCTGGATTTGTGAGAAGTCGCTTCATATCAGCAAAATTTGAACAGTAAACAAATTAAGATTATCATATCGGTATGCTGACTTAAATTGGAAGGCTTTTATTTAAGCGAGTTCCTCGGTAGATGTTAGAGGTCTTATAATATCTCATGAGCCGCGAAATGCGCGAAAGGCGTAGCGTATCCTCATAATTCTTCTAATAAGCACGTTGTGAAAACATTGACTCAGAACTAGACCATGTGCATTATTACAAGTAGACATGAACTAAGGCGTTCGGGCATCAATAAAGTCAACTGGCGAACGTTTGTTATACATATTTTTATTGTATAAATTAAAATAATAAAGAATAGGGCATTTTATTATGATATTTGTAATCGGATCAAAGGCTTGTTTACGCTAGAGCTCGAGAGAGACTGTGAATAATAGGTGTAATGTTTTTAGGACGTAGAATAATTTAGGCGACGGTAGGAATTATGTTTCTGCGCATATGAAGGTCAAAGCTCATAAGATTTTAATACATCTCTATAATGTTTTAAAAGTATATTTCTCAGTTCTGATAATAAATGTAGACCGTTTAGTTCTTCAGTTATCTGCCTAATTTGTCAATATTGGGAAACCATCCACAATCATGAGTTTAAGTAAAAGTGTATTATTATTATTTTTTCTATATCTCAACAAGTACAGTCATGGTAAGTATCTTATTATACTTAAGCTAAATTATTTATTTGTGATATTATTTTGGGTATTTTGAAAAAAAAGTAGCTAATGTCCTTGCGTGCAAAGGAGGACACCTGCTTTCAGTTAAAAATTTGGAAGTTACGTGTAAATTAACTGAGAATTCTGGTATTTTTTATTCGTTCATCTGTTTGCTTCCAAATTTGAGATATCTAAAGACATATAGCTTTACTATTATCTATTTATTCTTTATATTATTATTTCCGATGAAGCTCTCAGTTTACAGAAAAATTGATGCACCCTCACTCAACTTCAGTCATCTTTAATTCAGTACTAACTGTTATCTTCCAGGTGACGAAAATTGCACCATATCAGATTTTCTTCTACAGCAGTTCAAAGAAGGAGAATACAAATTCGATTTAGGACAGCGACTTGAAGTAACCAACAGTTCAATATCACCAGTAAATTACTATGAAGTGACTCGACTGGTTAACTACGAAAATTGTTTGGGTTTCACAACTGAAACTTTGGACACCATAGTACTCGATTGCCCAGAAAAGAGCATGGAAAGAATTGGTTGTTTCCAAGTTTTTACTCCTCAATATAACACTACATTATCTATTGAAAACGTAAGTTAATATTATCTTTTATGAAAACTTACAATTTATATATTTGAAGTGATCGGACAGGACAGGGTGATTGTTTTAATAAAGACTGATGCAGTAAACGAAAAATTCCAGTTAGGTACTCAAGAAGTTGCTGTAACAGATGCAGTTGTACGGAAAAAATATTTGAAATGACAAGTTATTGCAATGTCTGTAATAAATACCTACAGTATTACGATGCCCTAGTGTGCCTTTTTTATACGTTTCTTTACTTATTTGTTTCATGGTGTTTTTAGAATATGTTTCAATCTGTCGTCTTCTTAGAAGCTTAAAGATGGTTCTGTACTCTTCTTAGAAACCCATGGGAATTTCGAGAAACGACGAATATAGGTATAAGCGGCCTCACCAATGGGCGAGAAGAGTTTTTGAAAGGTTAAGTTGTAATTTGCTATTGAGTGTCAAAGTTGTCAAAATTTGTGTATTAAATTGTGTTCAATGAAGGAGATTTGGTACAAATTAATTTCAGAAATGGAATGCAGGGATGTTGTTCTAGTCTTTCTGATATTCATCTGGCACACTTTCTGGAACACATCTGATTCAAAATTTCGCCCTTGGTCCGAATGCAATTCTCTTGGAACACCAAATCTGCAGAAGAGGTTTTCAATGGGAACTTCTGCTACCATCGCTGTCTCTTGATGTGGATGGAATATACCTTTATTTTTACTTAAGGTTCCAGGAGGTAACAATTCCCAGATTCAGTCTTGTTTACGTCGAAATGTCCTCCACCTACTTCACATTTCGTTGATTCTTTGCTTGGAAGCGCAACCTGCTTTCGTACTTCTTTGCCATCTGAACTTTCCCACTGCCCCTTCATTAACCCAATTTCTAGGATAAGAACATATTGCACAGTAACCTTTTAATGTTGATGATTTGTCCTATATTTCTGTCCTTTTTGGTCGAGTCCCATGTTCTTTCCAACTAATAATCGATTTTAGACTGTCATCATTCCGGTGGTCTTCACTAAGCTTTTTAGTATCCGAATGTCCATCCGTTACAATTGCTGTTCTTCGAGACAAGTTTCCAGAATCCTTTGTCTTTGTTTGGTTGCAATGTGACCATCTCCTGGATACTGCATCTGCGTTCCTATGAAGTCGTCCCCTTCTATGTTTATGGCCCGAAGGCCAGAGTCGTTTCATTAGGGTTTCATTTTGCTTATTTCTTGGAGTAGTATTCACTTTTAAAATTATTTACATGTCATTAACATCCTATGCAGGGTGTAAACGAACTTATGTCAAATATATTTGCAACATGTCCGTTTATGTCACAGAGAATTTTCGAAAAACAGCACAGCAATCACTACAACAATGTATTACAAACCAACTTTCGAATACAGTCCGGCTTCATAAGAAACCTACAAACTCGTAAAAAGTGTTACATAATTTTTTGTAAGTACTCGCCGCGATAAAGTACATGTATTTCAGCAGTTCCAAAACAGTTTTAAACACATTTTTTATTAGCTTTTTTCTTTATGACCTTAAACTTCCGATACAGGTTTGTGGCATCAGTTAACTCAGTTTTTACTCCTTTTTCTTAACTTAAATTGATTAACACTCTGTATATTACATCTTATACAGAGACGCTTCAAACAGTAGACAGATTGTAATCAATTTGTTTTTCAGGAAAGAAAAATATGTGCAAGCAAACTGAACGAATCCTGCATAGGACTTTTAATTAAAGATAAAATTACGATAATTCTGAAATGTTCCACAAGTAATTGTTTCCAAATAGAGGGGAGACTATATGGATTAACAAAAAAACGTATTGTAAGGATACGAACTAATAAAATTCCACCAAGGGAATGAAGTTTTCAGAAAAAATTATTTCACATTGTTTACATTTTCTTACAAATATTTGCTTGTTACAAGTGTATACTGAATATCCTTTTTTTGCTTTAAAATCTTCTATTTTAAACCAATGTTTAGAACGACAAGATATCTCTAACTTATCAAATAAATTTCAGTATACCTATTTACATTCGTTGTTAAAATGTTATAATACTTTCTATTGACAAAAAATAATGTGGAAGAGCTCCATATTGTAAAAATAACCTGTTTGCTAGTAGTTCAAGAGGATTATCGTCAAGCAGGTGTGGAAGATCATTTTATCACCTCAAACAAGGCTGAAATGAAACAAAAACGGATTTCCAAAATTTCGGTTTTTTCAAATATTTCGAAAACTAATCATGTTAGCCTCGATTTTTTAGAGGCATAATGTTGGTCTCCTGATTTTGCAACTTTGCCCCTATTTAAGCTACTTCGTACCTATTACCGTTTCCGAAATCCCTGTAATGAGAAGCGAATTTGTAACAGCCTGTATAAATGTTTTTACTAAATACAAATGTTCAAAAATATAACAAGTATTATGGCATTATGCAAAACAAACTTTTTAATAGCGTACATTACTTGTAAAAAATTAAAATACAAAAAAATCTATTTAGCAAAGAAATTTATCAAAACAGATCCAACTCTAGAACCTGTCTCATAAATTTTCATAGATATTTTTGAGAATTTTTCGAAGAAATAAAAACACCAATATTTTTCAAAAAGCATTTTTTGGTTTAAAAATTAAAAAAAAAACTCAAAACTGCATCCCAAGACGAACAAAATGACAACAAAAGGTACGCTATCATTAGTTTTTGCCAAGTTACAGGTACTTGAAAATTGTTTACCTAAAATACAAATAATTTCTTGAGGGGTTGAAATCAAAATTTGAAAAAATTCATGATAGGTAGGTACTCTAAATGGGCACTAAGTAATATCAAAAAATCGGAAAAATTTAAAATGATCCGGTCACGATCTCAGTGATTTGGAATGGAATTCCCCACACAGGGTGTTTCTGAATTAACTGCATTCTTTAAAAAGGTGATAGAGGGCACCAAAATGAGCAACTTTTATTAAGCAACTTATAGTCTAGATGCGTTTGTTTTCGAGAAAATTAATTAAGAAAATTAACCATAAATGTAAGCCGACTATGTGCATCTTGTGCACGTGCACGCTTAGAACGCTTCGGACTCGCCACACGCGTGAAGCGCTTTTCTAATTGGCTGACGTTCTACGTGACTTGCTTTATTTAGCTGGCGGCTTTATATAATATTAAGAGGTTAGGCTAACACCACGAACCAATGAGCAAGTACGCACATGCAGAGGTAATTACTATGGTTAGTAAACGCAAACGTAGTAAGAATGAATTGTGAAACTGGCTTGGCGCGAAAGTAGGTAGGTATACAGCTGATCTATCTACTGCGGGTTTAGTCTGATTGTTGAAGTACCTGGAGATTGATAGCAGCACGCAGAATGAGAAAAATTAACATTTATTTAATCGACTATTCATCATCAGCAGATATAATGAAAATATATAATGATGATGGAAATAATATTTGACCTTGAACTGACCTAAAACCAGACCTAATCGCGTCAAACGGACACCGGATTCGCATTCCGCGACCCCAAAAACGTATGGATACATAGGTTTAGTTTGTCGACAACTGATTTTCTATATTTGACCTTGAATTGACCTTAAACTAGAGCTAATCGTGTCAAACGGACACCGGATTCAGCGGCCCCAAAACCATATGGATACCATGGTAAAACACGTAAATACCAGAAAATAATGCTGAAAATTAGGAGACTCCAAAACACATGACACAGTAAGGTTAATTCGGACGTAGAACAAAAGCACTTCCAGCTACGAAGTTGGCTATGGAACAATTTAAAACGACAGTAGGATATAGAACAAAATAAATTGGATGCAGATACATGTATATTTTAAGGGATATAGACCAATTTATAACATAACTGCATTATAGGGGATATGGGACAAAATTACAATTCATTTTAAATCTATTTTGTGGATGTAGTACAAATCAGACACTGAAATCTTGTTTATGGAACAACACAGCTTAATATAGTAGACGGATATAGAACAAGGTCGAAATTCTGAATAAAATGATATATATAACTCATATACGGCCAAACGTGGATATAGAACAACATAATCCCTGGGTGACGATATCTTACCCGTAGTATTTTTGCCTCCTGATCACGAATCACCTCCAAAAACAAGTCAAAGGTAGCAAAAATTCACAAAAAAGTGCTAGGAAACATACAAAAATATATTTTTTTCTATATTCAAATGTTCATTTATATGGTTAAGACTGCGCCCAACGTGAATCCTCGATCAGAATTGATGTTTTTTTTCTAACCCCAAAAAAACGGGTCAATTAAGGTCAGATATTACGAATTTTTAAAAAATAACAGATTCGCGCCAAATTTGGTATACGGGGGTTTTCGAGGTCGCTGATCACGGATCCGAGATCAATTTTGTAAAATTCAAAATAGCGGATCCAATATGGCCGACCAAATTTTCAAAAAATAACAGATTTTCGAAGTCGCTGTTTTCAGGGTCACTGATTACGAATCCGAGATCAGATTTACAAAATTAGTTTTTAAAATTTTAATAAATTACCTATGTACCTACTTTATTACTTGAGATTAGGCAGAAAACCCGTCAATAGATCTTTTACAGAAAAAAATAACAAGATATATTACAAAATGAATTTCGTAATTCTGACCTCGAATATGTGTCAGTCACCACGAAAAGCCCCGTATACCAAATTTGGCGCGAATCTATTATTTTTTGAAAATCTGACCTTAGTTGACCCGTTTTTTTGGGGTCAGAAAAAGAACCATCAACTCTGACAGCGGATTCACGTTCGGTGGAGTCTTAACCATATACTTAAATGCACATTTGAATATAGAAAAAAAAAATTGTGTTTTTCTTAGCACATTTTCGTGAATTTTGCTATTTTTGACCTGTTTTTTGAGGTGATTCGTGATCAGAAGGTAAAAATACTACGAATAACATATGTCGCATGAAAAGTACAGACAACATTTTGTGTGTGGCTGTGTTATCGTTCTATCTCTATCATTTCTGTTTTTTCTTATCTTTTTGAAAAAATAAAGAAATTATTCTAAAGCAGGTTCTCCAATTTTTTTTTAAGTATTATTCTGATAAACGTATGTCAATTCGGTTTTAGAAGAGACTTTTCTACTACCCATGCTCTCTCTAAATGAATAAAATTCATTGTTGAAGGACTTGAGGAAGGTTCACATTGTGCTATTACAGCTTGTGATTTAACAAAGCTTTCGACTGTTTTTCACATGATATACTAACTAAAAAATTAGAATGTTATGGGATAAGGGTACAACCGGCTCCATTATTGCAATCATATTTAAAAAGTCGTAAACAATTTGTTTCATTTAATGATATTCAATTCCCATATTCAATTGATTCGGCACGAAGTAACGCAGAGCTCCGTATTGGGACCACTTTTGTTTTTAATTTACGTGAATTTATTTTGGTTACCAACTCTAAATAGATGATCAGTTAATTAAGTGGGACGAGTAATAATCATTGATTCATTTTTTGAAATACATGACACCATAGAACTTTTAGATCACAGGTCCTCTATTACTCCTTTGAAGAAACATTGCATTGGAGTTTCCAGCTAGTAATACCAACTGATGCCTCAACACTTTGACGGCTGTTTGGTACTATACTCTATTTTTAAACTAAGAGGAGTGAATGCCAAAGACAAATTTACACTGCAAAAGTTACTAAAAACTACCCCAGATAGCATCAGCACAGAAGATAAATCTGGATAAAACTTCTGTGGCATCAGACTATCAAGTATATACTCACTGCAAGTGTTTAACCTCATTTTGAGTACAATAAGCTTTCATTACTTTTAAATGAAGTTATTAAGTACCTATTCAAAATAATGTGCAATGAATAAATATCTAATTCTAGGTTTATTTAACTTTTATATATATTTTTTTAAAACAGGAGGTACTTCCTACATAACATTGAAAAACTGAATATGAATGAAATAATATACTACGAACCAAACATATATAAATGATTCCAGTTTTCACTTTTTAAAAACAATTTTATTGATTCACATTTTTACATCTAGCATGGGAGTAATTATATAATGGTGTTTTTGTTACTTTGCATTGTTGCATTTCTACGAACTACGTTTATTAAGTTACCGGATAATTGCCAAATAACTGATAACTGAACTACGTTCGTAATATATCATCTGCAGGTGTTCAAAGTAATTTATAATATTATTGGTAAAAATTAGGGACAAATCATGTCTTTAACAATTTTCTGAATTATTCGACGAGTCAGTATCCATATCGCTTTCGCTATTATTAATTGATATAATTAAAGGTTCAATGAGATCGTCCATAATTCCGTCAAGTGTTCCCATTTTTTCTTCCTTCTTAATCACATGTTCTACACATTTTTTCCAGTTCATATTTGTAACATTATTAAGAGCCTCTATTAGTAGTTCCTTACGTCCTTCAATTTATATGTTTTATTTTTGCTTGCCACTTCATTCTTCACCTGTGCTCAAATCAATTCTATAGGGTTTAATTCACAATGATATGGCGGTAATCGTAACACAACTTTATTTTCTTTTTTTGCCATTTCGTCAGTTATATACAAATTATATTTAACTTTATTTTGGCGAATTAAATATAATAATTGCGATCTCACCATACCTTCTTCAAATTCGATATTTTTTTATTGCAGCCATGCCTTCATATCAATTTTTCTTGTTGATGCTGTCGGAATAGCTTCTACTTTTCGACTATGGTATGACGCATTGTCCATTACAATAACAGAATTATCTGGTATTTTTTTCAAAAATTCAGAAAACCACTTTTCAAATACATTTGCATTCATTTCCTTGTGATAATCCCCACTCTTTTTGCCTTCGAAAACCAATAACGAGTCTTCAACGAATCCTTCCTCTGAGCCAGCGTGTAAGATAATAAGACGCTTTCCTTTACTGGATGGATTTTTTACTCCCGTATACAGCCCTTCATTGAACGCCTCACGTTTGCTTTTAATATTAGTATCAACCCATACCCTTTCTTTTGTATGACCTTCATTTAACCATGTTTCATCTAAATAATAAATAGGTCTACCTTCAGATCTAAACTTTTTCATTGATATCAAGTAGTCAAGTCTCCATATCACTATATCATCACGTTCTATCAACACACTTTTACGACTTCGGCTTAAGTATCTGCAAAAAAATAAAATGTTTTTATTGCAATTATACTTGCTCCGAGATATGTCTTCAACCTTACTTGAAATTAATTTGTTTCATAAATTTGTATAATGATGAATCCTGACGACTTTTTATTTCGGTTAATATTTTGTCCAAAGTGGGGATCTCATTTTTAAAGAAAAAGCTGTGTACTATAAATACGCCTTATGGAACTCTTCATTGCTTCATCCAAACATGTAACAATCCCAGGTCTTCCACCACAGTGTTTGGAAGTAGACACCCTTCCAGTAGATTTATACTGTTTTATGGCTCGATATACTGTTGATTTTGCAACACCTAAAAAAGTATAATGTGTAATATAGTTCAACAGAATAATGTTAACATAAATTTACCTAATGTCATCGCTATTTTGGATACAAGTTGGACAGTTTTAAGAGTAGGTTCAACATCTAGGCTTTTCTTGTACAAATTCAATATTGCTTGCTTTTCTGCCAGAGACAAATGCCCCAAACTGAGTTGTTTTCGTTTCCTTGGGGGCGACGGCGACGTAATTCCCGCGCCTGCCTTACTCGTGGTCGGCACAGCATCATCCATATCCAATGGAAAATTGGAAAAAACGGATGATAAACAAAGTTGTTTAGTTCTGATAAGAACTGATTTATACGTAACTGGGATAATAAATAGAAAGAAAAGCAGGTAAAAACACAATGACAACGAACTGATGATAACTAAGAGGCAAAATGACAACAAATGTCAAAATGTAAAATTTATTAGCAGTGTAAAGGGGGCTCGAAATTAACCAATAAGAAACCACCATTTTGGCGCGCAATATTCAAAACGCTCCTCTTAGTTTAAAAATAGAGTATACCATATAGTAGGGATTCGTTTTGTGGAGTCATTATTTGAACATGTTGATGGACAGTGACAACATAACAGAATGATAGAAGTACCCCTGTATTATTTTTATGGTTTTTAATTTCATATTTTTTTACCATACAGAAGCGTTATGTTTTATAAGATAAGGAATCTGTAACAAAAATTCTAATAATCGTAGGATAAAGAATTATTTATTAATCGGTTTTTAGCGGTGTATTTAATTACCATTACTAATATTAAAATTTTTTTTATAAATATTTGTCTGAATCATTTCTTCATTTCTGATGATCAAAATATATGTATTTTACAGGGAAGAAGAGTTTGTGCCGACAAATTGAATGAATCATGTTTGGGACTAGCAACTCAATATAAAAAAAAAAATTTGATTTGATGATGCAAGTGGAATACCATTTAGACCAAGACCAACCTATGACTCTGCTTCTCGGTAACAGTGTCGTAACATTAATACAAAACGGGTTTTTATATATAAATTCATAAAACCTTCGAGAAAAATATTCGACTTTTAGTAAATCGTACATTCTTATAGTGTGTGTGTCTCATACTAGTTCACGTTGCACCTACTATGAGTTTAATTAGAAACTCGTTATTTTTTCTTTTCTTCGTATGGAATTGTGGTAAGTTGCATATATCAGTTTCCACACTTTATGTCGAAAAAACTGGGACACGAACGCTAAAATAACATTTACTTACTTTGTTGTATTATTTTTTGTTTTCCAGGCATACATGATTAGTAAAAATATGTTTGTTGTCAATTAAGCGGCTGGGCGCTAATAGTTTAGTTTAGTGTTTATTGACCATGTTAAATTGCATACAATCTTTATGGCAAGTCATATACAAAAACAAAAAATGTATATACATACACGAAAAAAATAAATTAATAAAAAAACATATCACAATAAATATTACAAGCAATAGAACACAAACGAGAGAAAAGAGATTATATAAACATCTTAGTCTAAGAAGGAGCGATAAGACCATTACCATAATGTATGCATATCAGAAAATTTTAAAAACTCGTTAACTGAGTAGAAACAATGCGTAACAAGAAATGATTTTATTTTCCGTTTAAAATCACAAGTATTCAAGGACTTTAAACTAGTCGGCACAATATTATATAAATGAATATCTAAGGAATTTTTCTTTGGTTTAATCAGTCTATAACGTGGAATCATAAAATTGTCCGAATTTCAAAGAGAGTGGCATATATGTAAAGACATGGTAACGGTAGAATTTTAAGTTTTTTAAAAAGCGGTCGACAGTGTTCGGTATAGCTAGAATTAGTCATTAACCGTACAGCTTTCTTTTGCAACTTAAATATTTTATCGGATGTTGTGCTGTTTCCCCAAAGAATTATAGTATAAGTCAAATGAGAGTGAAAAAGTGAATAATAACACATCATCAAACAGTCGTCACTCAAAAAGTGCTTCAATCTTCGAATTAAAAACAAGGTACTAGATAGTTTAGTTCCCAGTTTGTCAATATGGGCATTCTACGTAAGGGAATCACCAAGAATCACACCGAGTACCTTTGCAGATTTGCCTTCCGTTATATTCTTACGAGTTGAAAATATTAAATTGTGCGTTTTACTGTCACTCAGTTTTATATAATTAGCTGAAAACCATTTCTGTGCTTTTTCAATCATTTCATCGGATAACAAGGAAAGAACGGCTAAATTATAAGCAGACGTAAAGATGATAGTATCATCGGCAAATAACGTGCTACGAATAGGTAATAGGAATGGGAACACATCGTTAACATAAATAATAAAAAGTAAGGGTCCCAAAACAGAGCCCTGTGGAACTCCGTGACGCATGTATTCGTGGCCTGAATAAGAATTGTTAAAGTAAACAATTTGTCTGCGATTACTTAGGTACGACTGAATTAGTTTTAACGGTACACCCCGAATGCCATAGAAAGATAATTTCCGTAGAAGAATAGCGTGCGAAACACAGTCGAAAGCTCTGGTCAGGTCGCATAGTGTTACCCTTTTCAAGACTCTCGACTATGTTTGCCACCATTTTACACAAAGATTTAGTTGTGGATAATTTGTTTCTAAATCCAAATTGGTTCTGGTGAAAAAAGTTATAAGTTTCAAAATAATCCGTTAATCTGTTTTTCAAAATACGTTCCAGAACTTTTCCAAATAATGGGATAATTGAAATTGGGCGATAGTTACCCGGCTCGTTAGGATTGCCCTTCTTTAAAAGTGGTATAACCTTACTATTCTTAAAACAGTCTGGAAACACCCCATTTGAAAAACATTTATTGGCAAGAACAGTAAGGGGAATGATAATCAAATCACAAATTTGTTTTAAAATTGGTGCATTTATACCATACATATCAACAGCGGATGAATTTTTTAATTCCAAAATAGCATTTCTGACATCATCTGTCGTTACTGGTTTTAAGAAAAATGAAGACGATGGGGCATTGCAGTATTTAGCAATGTCCCATTCATTTTGTGTTATACCAGGAAATGACGTTATTCTATTATCCGCTATACTGGCAAAATATCTGTTCATCTCGTCAGCAGATAAATTTGAATATTCTCCAGTACCGTAATTCTGACGTCGTTCACAATTAATAATACGCCAACTATCTCTAATTTTATTATTAGAATATATTAAAAAATTGTCAAAACACGTTCTTTTAGCACGTCTTACACTTTTCTTATAATCACCTCGCAGTACTTTATATATTGCAAAATCCTTCGGATCCCTTGTTATCGAGCTAATTAGTTTAATGGTAGACAAGCATTCTCTGAATTTTTTTATGTTGTCGTTCATAAATTTAACTGAAACTTTATTTTTTAAACTCTTTTTGCGAAGAGGAAAAGTATTTACGATTAAAATTCCTGTATTACTTACTTTCCTAGTCCACATAACGTCAGAAACTGATACAGAAGTAATTAATCGAATATATTGACCTCTGTGATCGGAGAGGCATGGCTCAAAGACACCTGTCCTACATTTGGTGTCATTAATGTTGGTTATAATATTGTCGATACAAGTTTTACTTGTTTCAGTTACTCTAGTATAATCTGAAATTGTTGGTCGCAAACCGAAAGATTCAAACACATTCAGTAAATCTAAACGACTATTCGTTGAAGTATTAAAATTCACGTTAAAGTCACCTACTAATACAATACGGTTATTACCTGTACAAAATTTTATAAGCACAGCTTCCAACTTATTCAGAAATTGCGTAAAATTACCACAACCGCTAGACCTATATAAAGTTATTATAATTATATTATGCTCAACTAGTTCAATGCCGCAAAACTCAGCATGAAATTTAGTATTAAAAAAACTCAAGTCTAATGATCTATACTTAATATGATTTTTTAAGTAAATGCACACACCTCCATGTTCATTCATGTTTCTACAATAATAAGATGCCAAGTAATAGCCACTAATATGACACATTTTTAAATTTGACTCAGTTTGCCAATGTTCCGATATGCAAAATACGTCATAAACAAATTGATTCAAAAAAATTTCAATCTCGTCTACTTTGTTGGATATACATTGAATGTTAATATGGCAAAGGCTTACCACACCTTCTTATCCACAAATAATGTGATCCATAGAGTTTGGTGGAATAGTTCTGCAATCTGAAGTTGAACCATTTACTAAGTTCACGGCGTCGATTGTCTTCGTTAACTTGTAGGATGTATTTTTCTCCGAAGTTGAAAAAACCGTTGGACACAAGCACCCCTTGGCCATTTATCTGCATCCATTGCCTTATCAAAGTTGCTTTCATATATGTAAACCTTAAAGGAAGAGTAAAGTTGAGGATGTTTTGGAGTCATCGCTTCACAAACAACTTCAGGAAAATGTGCGTTCAGTAGATTGGTAAGAATATCCATATTCATACTTGGCTCAATTCGATAAACATGGAGTGTAACAGTTTTCGGTACACCCATTACAGCTACTCCATTAACTTCATTATTCTGGTTGTTCCCAACAAAAACCTGTCGCTTGGGTCTCTTTTTGGTTGTGACTTCAGTCCACTTATCAGTTTTATTTTCAAAAATTTTCAATAATGCGGTATTGACTAATATTTTCATACTCTTTTTGTTATACATGTTTCACAAATGTAAACTTTGTATTTATAGTTGAATTCCGAATAGAAATCTGCACAATTATAAATAAAACAGAAACCTATATTGCCATTTGAAAGAAGAAGTTGACTATCGCTTTTAAAAAGAAATAAAATAAGAAATACGCTAAAATAGGCTCACTCTATAGTGTAATTAGAGCCATTTCGTATAATTTTTTGTTTTTAAAATCAGACCATAAATGAGTTATGTCTTGGGGCGTTTTTTAAGAAACAACCTGTATATTTTTTTAAATGTTAAATATGTATTACTAAAATGATAACAAAAAAAATACATCTATAGATTCGTTCACATTAAAAAGATGTAACTTAATCCTAACAGGCAGTCCCCCAGCAGTTGTTTATTAGTTAAAAAAAAAATTAAACCTTTATTTATTCCTCCTAGAATTTATTACATTCCTAGAAACACCTTCAAATAGCAGTTTGTTGTTAAAATTGAATCAAATTTAATGGGAAATAAACAAAATACAAAAGAAAATCGATTTGCAGATTTCACCTATAAGAGCTAAAAAGTTTAGGGTGAAGTCGAGGTAAAAAAATATAGAAACTCGTGACGTTATTTTTACAAAACTGCCCACTATTCCCTGGATACTCTAATTTTAGAACAAATATCTCAGTAATTATTGTTAAAAATGTCATGTACGAATGAAATTGAGTATTATTTGTACGGCTCCCTCAATTTATAAAAAAATAAATCACGTATTTTCATTAATTTTGAGCAACCTGTATATCCAAAATAAAGCGTTTTTTGACACATAGGTATTTATGGAAACTTTTTTTCAATTGGTAACGTAAAATTAGCCAATAATGTTTGCCCAGTCATTTTATTTACACCCTGTATATCTTACGTTATAAAAGTATTTTTAGAATTTTATGGTCATTGAGAATTCTGCCAAATAAATTAAAATATTGATATGATAATTCCATAAAAGCATTTTCAATTTTCTTGTAGTATAAACTGAACTTATTATTTTCGATAGGTTTTGGACGTGGTTCAGTGTTTGAGGTCAAAATTCTGTTTCTAGAATATCAACTAATTTTGATATTCAGATAAATTGCGAAATCAACAAAACTCGTTTTTTTATGTACCTACTTATCATGAAATTGGTAGCGATATTCATTCATTAATTATTACAAAGTTGCAAAGTTTATGACGTTGAAAATGGTATTTTAATATAAAATATTACATATACTCTGATCCATTCCCTTGACATAAATAAACAATAACCTGAAAGAGAAATGCCAATATTAAATAATCATTGTACAGGCTATAACTAAATTCAATGGCGGATTGTTCATAAAAAATTAACGATAAAATGCTGTGAATATATGTGAGAAAGTGTTTTATTTTAGAGGTGTTAAATATAGAAGAAAATTTCAGAGATACAGGGTGTTAAAGTTGTTACCATGACGAGGGTTTTTCTTAGTAATCTCTTATTCCCAATAGCAGATAGCAGTGGCGTAGATGCAGGTAGTTTGAGGGGTATAATTGAAA